GGAAGATCTTTAGATCGACCGCAGAATGAGCTAAAAATGTTCGATAAATCAAAATCGATGGAAAAGGGAAAACCAAAGCTTATATATTTTTGCAGAAGCCTTCATCCAGCACTAGGTCGAAAAATGCTGGTGATTATGAAAATTATCAAAATGATAAATATGACAGAACAAATTATTCGGAAGCTACTGAGCGTAGATCAAACGAAATGACCATTTCAGTTCACGTTAACAAAAACTCAGTTTCAATGAGCTATAAAATCGCAGAAAAATTCCTTCCACAGGGTTCTGCAGGAACAGCTCTTAGCATGTGAAAATTTTTTTTAAAAACGGATGAGCGCCTAAACTGAGTAAAGCACAAACTGAATACTACAAAGAAGAACTCCGAATAAACAAGATAATGCGCAAAGAAAGAACTAGCAACTACCGCAAGTACTTCCAACGACTACACGAACAGTAATATGTATTACAGATTTGCAGGTAGCGTGTAATTATTCAGGCAGTTAGACACAAGCTGAAATCCACAAAATAGTTACTAGTTTACCCTGTGGAGAAACGTTTACATGATTCGATTAATGGATGTGTTTCAGATTTGTTAAAATTACCCGAAAATTTCGTCATCACGTGTCCAACGAATAATCTATGGATTCTGCAACGAGAAACGACCGCGATTACGTGCGCCTTCGACTGACATTCGTGTCTGGGCAAGAAACGACCGGCGTTCAGCGAAAATGTCTGTACGGTTTCGAAAGGCGACGTCTCGCTACTGTCGAAGATGTGATCGCCGACGTGGCGCTAAAGTTTGGCTTGAGTCGCCAAAACTTGCAATTCTCGGTTGAAGATTATGCTATTCCGAGCTGGTGTAGCTCAAAGGTGTTAACTTTCGACGAGGAAGTAGACGTGAGGTAATGGTAACGAGCTGTACTGACGGGCACTGTTTCTATAGATTGATTTTCTAGAAGCGCATTGCATGCCTGTTTGTTTGGTTGTAGTTTTGGATATTTATTCTTAGAAGTTATAAAGTTATGCGCGTACCTTGCTACTCAACGTTACATATACAGTGAGGGTTAAAGTTCCGATACTTATGGGTACAGTGACAGGCCCGTTGTCGAAGTCATAAAATTATTTCATCCGAGAGTCATTTCCTGTGAAATATGGTAAAACTATTTAAGCACTGATCTCCTGTGTTGTGCTGTCCGCTCTTGAAAATACTTTTAGTTTTCGTATTTCGAAAATCTTCCGAATACCAGGTTCAATAATTTTGAGAAGTAAACAGAGGTTGATGTTACGAAACCTTAATTACACCGTAGCAAACGTTTCGATTTCGCAACAGCAGCCCTCTCGGAGAATGAATATTTCGTAGCCTCAGCCATTGTCTTGCGCCTAAAATCATTGAATCGGAAATCGAAGATGTGCAAAATGAATTTATCAATTGGAATTAAGCTTTGATAATGCAGAGAACAAAATTCCCAAAATTTGTATTCATAGCGTATAATCGGAATCATCTTCGTAACAATTTGTCATATGTATGAAAGCAGTCTTAAACACGGTACGGTTTATTAAAAAACAATGCAGAAAAACGCTATGTTCAATCTGATGACTGACTTAGATTCGGCCTGTGTCCCACAAGCCTTCTTCAAGGTACGAGGTTGGTAGAGTTTTAGAGGGTTTTTCTTGTTATCCGCAACGTTTCGTAGGCTTTGTACCTGAAATCAAGCTACTAGTCCATGCCTCCGGTTAAACAGTTGCTGGGTGATAGGGCTCACCCGATCCGCAATGCCGTATTTTCGTTACATTATTTGCATGTAATTAAAATTTAGGTATTGTTCAATTTTTAGATGTATTGTTTATTTTTTTCTAACTGTCATTCACTGTCTTTATATTTTTTGCGTTAAAAAGTGCGTATCATTGAACAGGTTCAAACTTTTGCCTTTCGTAAACATCTCCCATCCCATTGTGAGCGGGCAGCGATGTAACCTGAAAAGCTAAGCTGATAAAATGAAGTTTATTTAAAATGGTTCTTTCTTTTAATCATAACGAAAAACCATCCACCGTTACGTTCAGTGACTTTTACTTTAAAGGGAGGCTACGATGTTTTTAGTTTCGACTAAACCAGTGCTAATTGTTTTCAGGTGGATCACTTATTAATTATCACTTATTAATCTATCGGCGAAAAGGAAAAAGAGCAAAGTTTAACTTGTAGCTTGTAGTTGAAATGTCGGTCTTCCTTAAACATTCATGATAGGGTCATTTTCTCACATTTCTTTTCATTGAGTTGATGGTGCGGTTCTGATCTCCAATTCTATGCCATCTGCCAAGAGTGCTTTGTTTCTGAGTGGCAGAGTCTCTAGTCATGTGTCAAGCGTGGCTTTTAGTCTTTTGTTTCCTTCGAACAGAGTGGTACTTATTTATCAATCTTGGGAAGAAGAAGGGCGAATCACCCAGACCGGAGCTCGAACTCTAGACGTCTTGGCTTTTAGTAGCCTCAGTCAGAAGCTACATGCTAAAACAAAGTTTTCAAAAACATGATGATTGCCGTCGAGTGGAATCGATCGAACCCGTTAGCTGAGGAGTTCGAAGCAAACCTCTTAGGCGCTGTGCCACCACGCAACTGTAATCGGGGACACTTAACTGGCGTTCTTTTGAATTATTAAATCATCGTTCCCATCTCCACTCTCTATGAATTTGATCAAGGCATTCTTCCTTTCCAGAGAATTAAACGATACTATAAGTAAGGCAGATTCATAGGTGAGTATGAGTCATGTCCCCACTTTCAATCATGAGGCCCATAACAGAAATCCGTAAGTCCTTAGCTTGTCGTTCTGGGAAAGGTTAATGTTGGTTTGGTCGAAATATTTTTCACGTCATCTTATGCGCAAAGTTTTAAAAAGTTTTCATATTTGAAAAATTTGTCTAAAATATGATTCTCTTTTTTATCCAGATGGAAAATTAGTTTAATTTTACTTGATCAGACGAACTTTTTCAGTTTATCCTGCCATTGATCTGGAGGTCTTCCTTGGAGCCATTTACTCTCTCCTGGAATTTAGTCTACTGTCTTTCAGGTCCAGCTATGGTCGGTTCTTATTGCGATATGCCATGCCATTGCAATTTCTTCACTTGGGAAGTGTCATGGCAGACTCTTTTTTATGCTCTTACCCATTCATTCTTCGTCCTTTCTTGTTCGACTGGTGTTTCGACACCTTTCCATACTGCGTTGCGTAGTCTATAGTTTATGAATGGCTTTCTGACTTTGGGTCCCACGTTCGCACCCATAAGTTAACAGTGAGAGCAAACACTGGACGAAAAATTTCAGAGTTGCTCCATGGCATTTTTGTTCTGGTAATTTCACATCAATTCTCCGTTTCAAAGATGAGCTTTCCAGAAAGCAGACACTGTTTTGCACTCTTCAGGCTTGCATCCGTTGACTTGCTAGGTCACGGGATCACGTATTTGTTATATAGTGCCTGTCTCTTCTTCAGGTTAATTTTGAGTCGTGCTTTCCTGCTGGCGTAGTTCAGCTCTTGCGTTCTTTTCTTGAGCTGTTTTGGTGAATTTGAAAGGACCAGAATATTGTCAGCAAACCATGGTGGTTTAAGCGATACCCACTGATCTTCGTCTCATAGTTTTACCAACCGAATGCCTTGCAGACCTCTTCTACGGCTGCTGAGTAACTTCTGTGACATTGCGTCATTGTGTCTCACGTCCGTATCGATTTTGAACTTGTTCGTTCTTTCATAAGATTTGCGTTTGCAGTTGCATTCTTGTGAATCATGACGATGAGGTATTCTCGATTCTCTGCCTCCTCAAAGAATCCAGTACAGACCTCGTATGGACTGGATCGAAAGACTTTTGGAAATCAACGAACCACAGGCAGAGAGGAACCTGATGTACGCTATTTGTTCTACTACCTGAAGAAGATTGTTTTAATGACAAAACTGCTGTGGATTTAATACGGTTCCGTAGCAGAATTATCGTCAGAATAGATAAGTTTGCGAGAATAGCGCAATTATCACAATCCAAATGGCACCTGTCAACTTTACGTCTTTTTAAATTTAACAGCTAATGAATAATGGAGCGGAAAAAGAACAAAAACGTACCGCAAGTGCATGACAGAGTGAACTTGAAACACAGTAGTACAGTCAAAACATAGTTCTAAATGCCTGTCCTCATTATTCCTCTGGATGACCCTTGAGATTGCCAAATTAGCGGGCGATGTCTGCCATTGATAAAGCTTCTGAAACTGCCTGTATCTGACAGCAACAGCGAACTATGAAAATGAATAAGCAAATAATAATGACCATAACCTTTAGTTCGGAAATAAGGCGAAATGAATTCAAATTGTTGTCAATGCTTTCGCTCTATTCTTTCGCCCTTTTTATATCTTTCTGTTCCTTTATAGCACGATGTCTCTCTTCCCACATCATTTTTCTATCATGGTTCACAGCAATATCATATCACTGTTGTTTTGGATAAGTAAGTAAGTTATAACCACGCCAACCTTCCATTATTACACTGGAGTCTCATGGAAGATTATTTTGAAAGTTGGGGGAAGTATCAGTCCAGTTTCCCCGGTTATACTGATTCTTAATTCAGCCCGTGCTATGGAATTGGTGTCCACTGCCAAAGGTAGAGGATAGAATGATTGCAGACAAATGTCGAATATATGCGTATTTTCAGTGTAGAGTCTTTAAGTGCAAATGCTAGTCAACTCTTTTTACGAATGACGAATATTTTTAGTGTCGTGTCTTCTTCAGAAAATGGTCAGCACGTTAAGGCCTTTGGCGAATACGATAATAACAAGTCAGAAATTCAAGGAGTTACTTCAGAGGTAAAAACGAAAGAGCATAAGTCGACGAATGTACATTATTTGGCTGTCGAAGACGAAGCTCTTGGCTTTGTTAAAGTGATTAAAACGAAGAAGAGACGTCATCACAACGATGACGACGATGACACGCTTAAAATAAAAGAAACAGCGTTTCCGACCAGCACTCCAATGAGCTCGATGAACAACGGTCTGGCTTCGGAGGGTGAGGGTTCAGTTTGTACAGCGTTCACGGAGTCTTCGCCTGGTGCAGCAATAAAGGCTAAAAAGGCACGGAAGCACAAGACGGCCAAGGAGAAAAGCGATGACTTTCACGGTGCTTCTGAAAGTCAGGTCCTTGCAGACGCTGATATGTCGTCTGCCTCTCTGTCTGTTGTTGTGGCGCCAGCCACGTCCAAAAATGTTCTCTACGAAGGTCCCCAGAAACCAGACTCGATCGTAAATATCACCAGGAAAAAGAAGTCAAAGAAGTTCCGCCGTCGTCAAAATGCTCAGGTAAGGGAGGTTAGTAGCGTGCTGAACCGACTGCACGAAGGGCAGATTGAAACTGCGGCTGAAACGCCTTCGTCCATTTCTACTGTGGTGGACACTGCCCAGTCGAAATTCGAAAATTTACCTTCCCCGCAAGGAACTGAAACTTCGAAAAAGTCAGCGGGCAGTGGTGGTGGTGGTGGCCACATTCATTTTAAATCTTCATCTTCATCGTCTGAATCAGAAGCAGAATCATCCGGCGGTCCATCTTCCATGGCAGTATCTCATGTCGTACGCTGCAGTCCAGATTTTAAACCCAAGGTAATATTTATCATTTGTTTTGATATTCGGATTAATCTGTCATTGAGGTCATGTTGCTATTCATGGAGAGAAACAAGTAAAACTCCCTCTAAGTAGGAAGCCACTGATGTACTTTTTGGGTACAACGGTGACCCTTTATTTGAATCCCGAGATCCTACAGTCACATCTCGAATTGTTTATGTTATAGCTCTTGTTAGCCTATGTTATTATGGCTCAGCCATTAACCTTATTTTAAGTCGTCTTTCACATGGTATAACATCTTTGTAGGTCAGCGACGAGAACGCGTATTCGTAATGTCGTAAATCAAAAACCCTCTCGTTACGCGATAGATACAGTAAAGCTGCTGTTTGGGGAAGAAATTAATATCCGTATGTTTTGCTTACCAGATTCATTCGAAGCTCGTTGATTCAAAATTCAATTTTAATTAGAAATATCCTATAAATCAGAATTTGTCTTAAGTTTAAGGATTAACAGGCTAATTTTATGCATTGGTAGTTCGATATTTTGATAATGCATAATTAAAAAATTTAAACGTGCTCATATTTATTGTTAATGCATTTAATTTTGTTATAATTCAAAATTAAATGTATAAAAAATACTCGTCAAATAATTCGTTTCTCTTTCTGCCATCCAGTATTCCTTAGGTTAAATTTGAATGATATATGCAGCTGCAGATTGCTGTAATACATGTCAGAAGGCAGATGGCGTCAAGACAACTAATTTCTGTCTTTAGTAAAAGAAAGGATATTTCTTTGTTGCTGCATGTCGATCCTCCTTATGTTTTCATGATGAGGTTATTTCTGGCAACTTTCTTTTCATGAAGCTAATGGTAAGGTGCTGATCTCTGCGTTCATCATTTCATCACCTAAAAGCGTGTTATTTTAAAAGCAGAGTCGACTGCGCTTATGCCGTAGGTATAGTGTGTAGTTCCCTGTGCCCTTCCCACAGAGTAGAAAGACTGAATGTTTGAAATGCGC